AGAGCAGACAGGGGAACTTCCTGGTCGTTTTTCACAGCTCCTGACTCAGAGCAGTGGCCAGAGGGTAGGGGGGCTACCTCTGGATGGGGCAGCAGGCCCCGACCCAAGGGGGCCCCATTCATAGCCTGACCAACTCCTGAGGCTGCGGCAAAGGGCTCTGCCCAGTAAGGGCAATGGCAGCTACTCAAGTCAGTCAGACAGGATCCTTCCAGAATTTGGACTAGAGATGAAAAGACAGTGGGCCCAGAGGAAAAAGGAACAGAGAGAAGTCCCACAGAGGGGCAGAACTGCTGCCAGGAGGCGGCAGAGAGCAGCCTGGCCCCAGCACCGGCCCAGCTCCTGAGGGCTCCAGGCCCACTCCAGCCCATGGGTCCCCAACCACACACCATCTGGATCCAAAGTGGCCAGAGGGGTCCTGTGTTTATAAAGAAAGAAGCACAGGACACAAGACCACTCGTTTAGCAGAAAACTGGGATCAAAACTCCAAAATACATGATTACCACACTTGGGACTCCAAGGCCAGGAGAGGAATTCATCAGTGCTTGGTTTACAGTGCCTAGAACAAAGGCAGCTCTCAAACACATCTGCTCAGTGACGGAACAAGAACCAGAAGCCGCGACAACAAAACTTTGAGGGAGACGCCGGACATAACCTTTCTGTGAGTTCACTTACTCAGTACGTGGGTGGTACTGACCTGACTATAATGGGCCAAAAGGCGGCCTAGAGTTTGAAGCAATACTAACAAAGTGTGTGTTTCTCTATCTTCTTCCTATTGCTGGCCTCGTCTGGAAAAACTGCACTAGGACAGTATCTAAGCCAAATAATAAAAAGAAAGCACTCAAAAAATTACAAGTAGGATTATCACAGGATCCAGCAATTTCACTTGTTGGGATACACCCAAAGGAAACGAAAGCAGACTCAGATATTTGTGCATCACAGCAGCGTTATTCACAACTGTCAAAAGGTGGAAGCAACCCAAGTGTCCATCAACAGATAAACGGGATAAACAAAATATACATACAATGGAACATTATTCAGCCTTTACAAAGGAAATTCTGACACACACTAAAACACGGAGGAACCCTGAAGACATTATGGTAAGTAAAATAAGCCAGTCACAAAACGACAAATACTGTATGATTTCACTTACATGAGGTACTCAGAGTGGTCAAATTCATGGAGACAGAAAGCAGAATGATGGTCGTCAGGGGCTGGTGGGAGGATGGAATGGGGAGTTAGATTTTAATGGGTACAGAGTTTCAGTTTTGCAAGATGAAAAATGTCCTGTGGACGATGGAAGTGATGAGTGCGCAATGATGTAAGCACACTTAGTGCCACTGAACTGTACACTTAAAGACGGTGAAGATGGTGAATTTTATGTTATGTATATTTTATCATAATTAAAAATAAATATTTTTCTTAAATAAAAGCACCTTATAATCGCAACAAGCTGTACAGAAGCTAAAAAGCCAAATACCTTAAGTTACTGACGCCATTTAACAACCTCAAAAAATCTCTCCAGGCCACCCATTAACTATAACCAAAGGAGAGCTGCATTACGTTTAGAGACCAGACACTACAGGCATTCTGCAACTAAAATACAAGCCAGAAGGAAGACATGAAAGCAACATATGAGAACTAACAGCCACAGTGAAATGACCTAACGGACCTTCTCTGAAAGAATTAAAATAAACAGGGCAGAAATAGAGGACAAGAGAAGACATAATAAGATAGCCACAGAAGGGGCCAGCCTGGTGGCGTAGTGGTTAAGTTTGTGTGCTCTGCTTCGGTGGCCTGGAGTTCACCAGTTCCAATCCCAGGAGCAGACCTACACATTGCTCATCAAGCCATGCTGTAGCAACATCCCACATACAAAATGGAGGAAGACTGGCACAGATGTTCGCTCAGGAACAATCTTCCTCAAGCAAAAAGAGGAAGGCTGGCAACAGATGTTAGCTCAGGGCTAATCTTCCTCAGCAAAAAAAAAGTGAGAGAGAGAACATTTCTAACAAGCTTTGAATCATACCTTAAGCTTTCTTGCATCCCTTTCCTAACACCTCTACCCCCACTGCATCCCCAGAGTATACCAAATATGAAACACACAACATCTGTGGATTCACATATGCAAACACACACATACACTCACACTATGAACAAAACAAGTGACACTTAACACAGATACAGGGCATCTCAGAATATATCTACCTCCATTAAGAATTTTAAGCTCTATTTTAGTAATATCTTTTAAGTGGCAGGATTGAGGGATATGTTGCTATGAGAAATTCTAAGTTCTGGCTATGAGAAAGCTATCCTGATTATTCAAGGAATCTACCTGAAACAAAATCATTTTACATGTAACCTGGGTCTCACATATTTTTCAGGAGTGTGTCATCTCCCAATTATTATTGGAGATAATAATAATTGGTGGTGGCTCACATACAAAAAAAAGAAGACTGGCAGTGGATGTTAGCTCAGGGAGAATATTCCTCAGCAAAAAAATAAATAAGAGTAATTGAAAAACGCTCTCAAAGTGTTCTTGGACTTTACTATGAAAATACAATTAAACTGAAATTTACCTATTTCCCTCCTATCAAGCTGCATTCGAACAGGTTAAAAGCACAGTGGTAAAGGACACAAAATAAAATGTCAAGAAAAAAAGCATAACTCTGAGTTAACTCCTCCAGTGCCCCAAAACAAAAAAAGATTCTTCCCAATCAGGTCAGCTGGCCTGGCCCATGGGGAGCCGCTCCCTCCCACACCGGTACACTTGGCGTGCTGGACCTATGATCGCGTTCAGGGACTGCTGAAGGGTTTTTCCTCAGTTCAAACTTTTTCTCTTTTGAACCCTGATTTTGCAGGTACCTGATTTTGCAGATTGTAACACACAGACCATAAGGTGACCTCCAATGAGTGACATCTCTGTACTAGCCTCTCCCCTCCATTTGGGGCAGAACCTGTGGCTTGCTTCTAACCAAAGAATACTCGGGCTAAGGTGACGGGCTGCCACTCCTGGGATTACTTATGTTATATAAGACTCCAGCTTAGCAGACTTGGGCAAGAGATGCTCCCACCGGCTTTGAAGAAATAAGCTGCCATGTCGTGAGAGATCTATGAGAGCGCCACACAGCAAGGAACTGTGGGAGGTTCTAGGAACTGAGACTGGTGCCAGCTGACAGCCAGCAGAGGACAGGGACCTCAGTCTACCACAGCCAGGAACTGAAAACTGTCAACAACTGCACAGCCCCGAAAGGGGACCACAAGCTCGAGAGAGGAGCACGGCTCCATCCACAGCTCGACTGCAGCGCTGTGAGACCGGGAGCAGAGGACCCCGTGAAGACGTGCCCAAATTCCTGACCCAAGGAAACTGTGAGACAAAAATGCCTGTGGTTTTAAGATGCTAAATTTGTGGTAATTTGTTACTCAACAATAGAAAACTTTGATACCTGCATATCAGGAGACACTCACCTAAGAACTGACTATTAGGATGAATGCTAATTCCTGGAATTGTACTAAGTCTCGTCCTTCCAATATGGAAATACACGATCAAACCTTAACAACGCCTATCAGCTCGTATGGCCATCCACATTTTGAACTCTAGGGTGTTTTCCAGTGTGGATTTCCAAATTTTCTGCCATGTTCTTACTACCATCCTTCTCTCCCTGAGCTACATCTCCTACCCCTTAAATGCAGATGCTGCAGGGAGAAGCCCTGTGCTGGCCGCCTCCCAGCTGCCAAACAGCTGCCACCACCTAAACTCCAACCGCCTGAGAACAAGCAGTGGACGGGGCAGAGGTCACCTCCAAGGTCTAGCTAAGGGAAAAGTAGAGTATAACAGGAACAAGAATAGGCTGTTTAGTGTTAATTTCTCCACCAGCACTCTCCAAAACTGTTAGAATATTAACATGAACCAACACGTGGCAGGTATATAAGGTGAATGGCAGTGGTCACGAAAGTACAGTATTTCACTTAAGAAAAAACAAAAAGCAAATCTATAGAAATTAGGTAAGAGAAAGCAGACATACTACACTCAGGTAGAAGTCAGATGTTATTCAGCATAAAACGTATGCTGAAGCGTAAAGAGGGGCTGGCCCCGTGGCCAAGTGGTTAATTTCGCGCGCTCCACTTCAGTGGCCCAGGGTTTCACTGGTTCAGATCCTGGGTGCGCACCTAGCACCACTCATCAAGCCATGTTGAAGCAGCGTCCCACAGAGCACAACCAGAGGCACTCACAACTAGAATACACAACTATGTACTGGGGGGCTTCGGGGAGAAGGATTAAAAAAAAAAAAAAAGATTGGCAAGAGTTGTTAGCTCAGGTGCCAATCTTAAAAAAAAAAAACTTGGTAAAGAGAAGTAAACAAAATCTGTCATTGATGCTCATCATTGATCAAAGGACAGCCCCCACCAGCTTGGCCAAACTCATATGAGGTACCCTTTGTGATCCTTGACTCCTAAGCCAACAAGCCACTTTCTCATCACTTTGGTTTCCCAGGTATGTCAAACTCAGGAAGGAGGAGCCCTGGATGATGATAAAGTATTCCAATCACTGGAAAAGACTGTGCCTCATGGTAAATTAAACTAGCAGCCTGGTTTACAGTGCTTACGATGTGATTACCAACCGGACTCAATGAGGAGCAAATCCTGGAACGGCGAGGCTCACATCCAGACCCTGTGACTGAGGTAGGCAAAGGACTCCAGAGGCGCTGTCCACAGCCCCACCACTAACGTAGTAACTCTGAAACAGCTTTTAAAATCGGAACATAGCATCTCCAAATCCCGTCTGAACATAATTAGACAAAATTAGCATATAAAAATAACTTTTCTTTTTAAAATGTCTGTAAAAATAGTATAATCTCCATAATTGAATGAATTATTGTATTTCACTGAGTCTAAGACACTGATTGTAAAATGCAACATTACTGTCTATATATTTGGAAAAAAACTGTCAATTAAATTTTGTCACAATGTTAAATAATCATTGATTTTAACACATATTCTGATTTCAGAGATGTTAAATATGTGAAAAAAGGGGCATCTTAGAATCAATGAAATACAGTACTAAAGAATGTATTCTTCCGGTAATTGTTCAAATAAAGTAGTAAACATTGAGTGTCAAATCGACATGAATTCACAATCAGTAGCACATTCTTAAAGCTATCAATTTTGTTTCACCTCTCATTTGAAATGAAGAACGGGGTGGCACTTATATTAATTTCTAGCAGACGTCCTGCATAACCTTTAAAACTTATAGATTCCTAATTTGAGAATCATCTTATTTTCACTTATAGAATCACAGATCCGGAGATGACATCAACAAAGCCGACACATGTTAAGTGACTGAGTGCAGGGCCGAAGGCCAGAAAGCAGCAGTCAAGGCTTGAAGCCATGTCTGTAGGACCCTGTTCCGTGTTCTCTTCGTAGAAATCAGGAATCAAATGAGTCACCAGCATTCTTTGGTCCAATGCTACAGACAGGGTAATTAATGAAAATCTGTCCATTTTCAAAGATGCTCTTTTATGAAACTCCTCTCCTCAACCGCCCTGGGAGAGTACTGACGACTGATAACTCGTTCAGCTAGTTGACTCAATTACCAGATGGCTTTATTAGGATGGCACCCAGCTTCTCAAAAACAAATGCCTTCTTTGCATGCTCTGAGGAGTGAAGGCCACCACGTATTACCTAATCAGCCATGTGCCAAACACTAGCCTCACAACAAGATTCTACTGTATGAGACCATTGGTTCTTTATGGAAGATTCTGGGAATTACAGAACGTTTCAAAACGTTGTCAGCATTTGCTATGCTCTGACGTAGAAATTTGGATACTCAAAACACGTTGGAAGTGTGCTAATGCTCTGCTCTGACGGGCCTCTTTAGGCCTGACGGTTGCTCAAGGAAGTGAGCAAACAATCCACCTTCTCTAAGTGTTAGTCCCTTTTGTCCTGACTTCTTGCAAGGTGCTTCACAGCGGACTTGCCAGTGTTAACCGGAGAGGACTCAAACACTAAAGCGGTTGAGCGGAACTGGCTGGAGACTTCGGCTGGGGGCTCCATCACAATGTTTCTAGATGTCTCTATTACAGAATTCCTCATTCTATCATCCATCTCGATCACTTCAAAATCCACTTCATTCCACTTTTCTGCATCTTCCTCATAGTCATTCGGCCCAGAGCTAGAGAGCAAAGCTTTCTGGTCCTCACTCTTCCTGTGTTCTTTTTGCTGACGATTGAGAGGTGAGGTGGCTAATTTATACATCACGGGAAATAAAATAGCAGTGGCTATCGCTGACGCCAAAGACGTGTACAAAACTACAGGCAAATCGGGGTATTTTCCTTGAAGAATTCCAATTACGGCAGGGATAGCCATTTCTCCCAAGGAACCACCGATGACAAAAAATGCTGCGGCTTTTCCGTGGATGGTCGTGTACTGCTCAATCCAAGAAATGCCACTGGGAAACGTGGTTGCCATCGAGGCCCCATACACGGAAGTTGCTATCCAGAGACAAACTGGGCTCTTGTTGAAAAGCACCAGAAACAAAGATGACGACACGCTGCTAATGTTGCTCAACACGATCATGGTTCCAGGCTGTAAACACGCAGCAAAAAAGATCGCCAGGCCCCTGCAAGACGCAAAGACCCCCCAGAAGATGGAGTTCAATCCGGCCGCTTCACTTTCTTTCATGCCAGCATGAGTGATTGCAAACGAGAAAATGTAAGAGCCATATGTCACCTCGGCTCCAACATAAAAAAAGAAGAACAGGAAGAGGAGACAAAGCAGGATGTTGTGATATTTAGCTCTTTGAGACCTCTGAGCGCACACTTTGGCTTTTTCCAGCTTTGAGCTTTTCTTTAAAAACAGAGCAAGAAGAGAGATAAAAACTACAAAAATGTAAGTCCCAATGACAGCATAAGCCCACAGTAAATTCATATCGTCAGGTACTCCAAGTAGAGGTTCTGAGGCGGCTTCAGATGACTGGTTGAGCACAGAATCGTTAAAGTCAGCCTCTGTGTGGTTTTCAGCAGACACGGTCGTGCCCAATGCCAATTTAGCCAGCAGTGGCGCCAAGAAGGCACCCAAGGCGAAACAGAAGTGTAAGGCCTGCAAATGCGGGGCTCCTTTGTCCCCCCAGAGAGCCAAGATTAGGACGTTACCACCTACCAATGAAAGATGGGAAAATGATTTAATCATAGTAAGTTAGCAAAAAACAGTTCATTACTATCAGAAAAAGCATGAGTCTGTTTTACACGGCACAGGATCATAATATTCTAAGTTGTCACATGTTTGCATGCATGTTGTTATCAAGTCAATTCTATGACTGAGGAACTCTAACCCCCCACCATGAGAGAGCAATAAGCACTGAAATATCACATACTTACAAATGGGATTCTACAGGCCAGCAAAGCACTACCTCCCAGAGCCAGGCCCATTAGCACAAGGCTTTTTATAACACAGTTCTAATACCAGGCTGGCAGCGAGGGGGGATATTTATATATTTATTTATTTATAAATATTTTAAATAGATATTAACATCAGACAGTGGCCAAATAACCCAAGCTTTCTGTACTTGCAATGGGCAGCCACTTGAAGGAAATTATTTATGTATATAGCAGATGTGAAACACATGTTCAGGAACCTGACCACTACAGGATTCTGCAGTGCCCGTGACAGGCACTAAGGATTCCTTCTACAAGGTGAGAGGCAAGAAGAAGCAAGTCTTGCGTTTTCTTTCTTTTCCTTTTTTAACCGCATTTGCAGACAAACATAGAATTCTACCCTGTAATTTCACAACCAAACTAAGCCGAAAGTATAAAATATTTCCCTGACATGTCAAGTAACAGCAGAGCAGGGAAGCAGGGGAGGAAGCTGGCTTTAAGGGTGAACAAAAGTCATGTGTTATTTTGTAGGTTTTAAAAGATATCAAGATACATGATGAGGCTCTCCTGCAGGAGGGCAGGACTTTTGAGAGAAAAGGAAGAAAAGGAAAATAATACACAGCACAGGTTTCTTTTAGTTCAAAAGGCAAGGTGCATTGTAAACTGGATAGTGGCTTCTAGACTTCCTCAGCCAAAAATGTTTCCAAACTTAGTTTAACTGATTAACTCATCAATTCCCCCATACTACAATGAAGTTCTAGCCCAAAATGAAAGCCCGCTCACCTGCACTGTAATTACCCAGGTGCGGACCCTACCCTGGTTGGATACTGTAAATCCACAATCTCTCATACAACAAAATTCTTTAAATTCGCTCCGTGGTTGGCTGCTCAAAAACAGACATCCTACTTGGCAAGAAGAGTAGATGCCAGAAGGGTGGTTCTGATCGGGGGAGCCTATGACCAACTCAGTAGGTCAGTGTCATTTTGGCAGACACTGCAAGTGACAATTTAATATCACCTGTTCTTCTTTTTCAAGTGGAAAGTCCCTACTCCCAGAGGTGACACTGACGAGGTCACTAACCTGTATCCAGGATGCCCATTGAAACACCAAAGACGGACATCATGACAATCAGTAATACCACTGCCTTGCAAAATGGAACAAGATAAAGACCAACTGTCGTAGCCAACATTGACATCCCTGAGAAGAAATGTAAAAGTCAGCTGAAAACAACATTCATATAGAGTCATGGCTCAAGTCAACATCAAAAAACTCCCCAAAATGCAGAGTAAGTCACATTAAAATTGAGTAACAATGAGATGAGAGGTTCAGCTTCTACAAATAGTCATTTCACTTAAAAACTTTTATAATCTTTATGGACTATAAAATATGTGATTCTAATATAAATACACATCTAGCACTGCTAATAATCAAACTATAAGTTACAATACATGGCAAAGTTTTATGGCAAAACAGACAGCTCAAAAATTACTTATTTAAATGTTTCATATTTAAGAACCTAAAGAGATCTTTAGATAGGAGGTAAAAAATAAAAAACATAAAAGTAAAATGCAACTACTATAGTAGTTTGTAGTAGAAATGTATTAAATAAATTAGTTTGGGGAATAGGGAAGGAAACGTAAGAAATATATTCTTTCAACCACTTTGGAAATCAGAGGGATTATTTAGTTATTCATCAACAACAGTAAATTATTCTCCTTACTTCCAAAGCGGTTTTATTACATCAAGCCAGATTCTCTTTCAACATGTCAATTTATTCAAAAAACAGTAAGTTAAAAGCTTTGCCATCTATCTCAAGGGTGAGGTAGAAAGGTTTGGGGTTATCATTGACACGGGGCAGCAGGGACAAAAATTCCGACTACATCATTTCACCCACCATCCACTCCTACCTTCATTCTCAGTCCAGGATTCAGCCTGGGCAAGTTCAAGTTCATTCATTCTGATCTCTGGTGGCTCCAGGAGATCTGCCCTAAACTCTGACAGGCAGAGCGCCTTGGACGACCAGGACGCGATCCAGGGGTGGTGTCTAAATTACAGGTGAAGTCAGGAAGGCTAAGGATGGCCAACACACTCTGGGGCTAATCTAAATTTCCAGAGTGGTCCAGCAGAGATTCCCTTAACTGCCAAGATGAAAGCCGGCACCAGGGAGACCTGACTTCCACGGAGGACGTCCAAACACTAGTCCATCTAAGACGTCAACCATTCCGCAAGATAGTATGGCTCCTATTCAAAAACAAATTGTAATTTCCTGGAAAGTCACAGAGAAGCGAAAATTGGTGTTTACTTACCCAAAAGTAGAAAAGGATTCATACTGTCAAAAAGAACTCCACCTATCACAGAACCACCCAAATATCCAAAGGCACGGCCCACAAAAACCACGGAAAGGCTGCTCATGTTGCGGTTCACATTTACTGCCAAATCTGGAAACGTGGGTCCCAGGATAGCAACACTCATTCCCTGAAATTTAAAAAGGCAAAAGATTTTATTTACAACCATTAAAATATGTCTATCTATGTGGTAGCTTTTTTCACCATTAAAAAGGGAGGAGGGGATTTCAATGTCACGTAGGGAATTACTTGAAGTCCCACAGTCAGGAAAAATTCATGACGACAATACTAGTACTCCTATTTCTGGTGTGCCAAATCCTCTTTTTCTAGTTTTGACAACTGTAAATTTTTAAAAACTTCTTTAATTCTTTCAGTTTTTTGCTGCAATTCTATTTCCTTTTTTTTTTTTTCCAAGGAAGATTAGCCCTGAGCTAACATCTGCCGCCAATCCTCCTCTTTTTGCTGAGGAAGACTGGCCCTGAGCTAACATCTGTGCCCATCTTCCTCTCCTTTATATGTGGGACGCCTAACACAGCATGGCTTGACAAGCGGTGCCACGTCCACACCCGGGATCCCAAACTGCGAACCCCGGGCCGCTGAAGCAGAACGTGCGCACTTAACCGCTGCGCCACCAGGCCGGCCCCTATTTCCTTTTTGAACAATACCATAAAAGACTATTTTGTATTAATAGTAAAATGTAACATTAATGTAACTTTTGAAATAGTTTTGTACATTTTTAAGTATACTACATGCCCAAATATCACAGGAATTTAAATGTTAAAAATTATTTTTTTAGGGGCTGGCCCCATGGCAAGTGGTTAAGTTCACGCGCTCCACTTCGGCAGCCCGGGGTTTCACGGTTTTGAATCCTGGGCACAGACATGGCACCGCTCATCAGGCCACGCTGAGGTGGCGTCCCACATAGCAAAATCAAAAGGGTCTACAACCAGAATATACAACTATGTACTGGGGGGTTTTGGGGAGAAGAAGAAGAAAAAAAGAAAAGTAGATTGGCAATAGGTGTTGTTAGCTCAGGTGACAATCTTTAAAAAAAAATTGTAAAAGAAAAATTATTTTTTTAAATCATCAAAATATTATTCTCATTTTTGATGTTGTTAAAACAGACAGCAATATTTCTGGATGCACATGGGGTGCTTCCTCTGAATTACGAGTACAAAATATGCAGGAGATTAAACAATTGAAACATTTCTAAATCTGCATTTTTCTTCAAAGAAAACCCCAAGCCATCAGCAATACAGTCTGTACGCCTTTCTTAGAGAATACCACATACATATATATACAATGCCTTTAAAAATAAAATTTTACTTAAAGACAATCTAGTGTTAGCAAGAATTAAGGTTACAGTCGGCTTTCAGAGGAAGCTAGTTTTACATTTGAAAAATGTTTCCAATCGGTCTACATTTCAAGAATAATTAACTCTAACTGCACTGGTCTGCTTGAAACGCTTGGGTGTGCTCCCTGCCCAAGCTGGAGCTGTGCGGGACTGGAAAGCAGGCCTGGGCACCGGGCGCAGAGCACGCGCCTGGGACATGGGAGAGAGGCTGAGCCTAGCTCTCATCCAATTTGTTCCAGCCTGCACAACGCTGACAACAGGATCTGGCACACAGTGGGGGCCAACCAAGGATCGGCAGTGATTTTTCTTCTTTCAAATCAAAATACTCTAAGAATCAGTTGTGGCTCAGAGAAAGACGTTGAGTGACCAGAAGTGACGCTCAGAGGATTCGCCTCCGAACTCTCCAGAATCCCAACATTCAAGACAGGTGATGAAGACGCGGGGTGGAGGGAGGGGGCGGTGTCCAGAAATAAAGGAATCGCGGGGTAGCCAAGGGTTTTGGCAAAAGGTGCTTCTAGCCTTGCAGTTTGCTCTAAGAAAAACATTGAAGGATCTGAAGGTTTGTTTCACATAGGCCTGTGGGCAGAGTAAAACACTACGCATTCCTGGCTCTACCACTTAGCCAGCTGTGTGGTCCGGAAAAGTCACTTTCCCTCTCTGGGTCTATTTCCTCATCTGTAAAAACAAGAGGTTGGCTGAAATTGATCAGCAGAGGAAGAGGAAATCCCAGAAAAGCAGCTTTAGGGAATAACACGAGGGTTGGCTGGGCCCGGGGGACAGCGGCTATAGACCTGGCAACCCTTCTTGCGGCTCCCCACCCCGAGGAGGAGAGGGAGGAAGGCTGGCTGGAGCTGGGAAATATATTAGGAAAATAAATCTCGCACTTGACAATAACCCTCCAAGATTAAAACTGTGCCCTTTAAACAGATTACGAAACTGAGTCTCGGGCAGACTAACGCGCCCAAGGTCACGCAGTCTGCAAGTGGCGGAGGCGACCCTGGAACTCGAAGGCCGCGCCGCCTGCTCACGCCCCGGCCCGCGGGGTCGCAGCGGCCGCTCTCACCAGCCCCAGGAAGGCGGCACACAGGATCACGGTGATGAACCAGCGGTGCAGACTCCCGGCCCCGCCGCTCCGCCGCGAGCCCGCCGCCGCTTCCGGCTCATTCTCCGCCGGGGCCTTGGCCTGGAGGAGCCGCTGCCCGGCAGCCGGGGCCCCGGCGCCCTGGAATTCCAGTTCCAACTCCAGCTCGGCGGCTCGGGAGACGCGGTCCTGCAGCCGCTCAGCTTCTCAGCCGAGCCTCAGGACTTCGGAGCCGAGCCCCGGCCCCGCCCCTCCGGGCCCGGCCGTCCCGGCAGGCGCCACCTCCGCGGGGGCGGCCGCTGGCCAGGACCGGGAAGTCGCACTTCGGAACGCACCCGGCGCAGCGGGCCGCGGACACGCCCCACCCCCACCCCGCACGCTCTGCGCCTGCGCGGGTCACATGGCAGAAATGTGGCTTCTCGCCAACCACGGCCCAGTCACAACCGGAAGTGATGTGGTTGCCTAGGTGACCGGACGTAGCGCCTGGGCCTCAGCATCACACACAGCTGAAGCCACAGAGGCCCAGCGGGCGGGCGCCCCGTGGCGGAGCGAGCTGAAGCTGCAGCCTGGGACCCGACGAATCGTGCGGTAAGAAGGAGCCAAACCGTTATGAGAAAAGACGCACCAAGAATTGCAAGGGATGGCTTCGCGCCCGCCCCCCGGATCTCCTGGGGGAGCAAAGAGAGCCCGAAGGTCTGTCCCTTATACCACTGTATAAAATTCCTGCCCGTGCTCCTTGGAGATCGGCTGTTGATCTGTCGTTCATCTGTCACTCCACAGCATTTGTTGGACCTCATATGTAAGCTTTCACGTGTATTATCTAAATTAATCCTCATAACACTCTAAATTCCATGTTATCCTCGTTTTACAGATAGGAGGATTAAGTCATAGAGAATAAATAGCAACTGTCCCAAGGTCAGTCAGCCAATCAGTGGCTGTATATAGACAGTGTAACAGTAGCTCAAGAAAGAAAGCTGGAACCAAACATGCGGTTGAAGGCACCCTCTCGCCCCAATCCCTGTAAATGATTCCATTCTTGTGAGGAAGTGGAGCAGGGCGTCGATGTGCAAAATTCTTGAGTAAAGTTATGCCAGCAGAGAAGGAAAGGCTTATCTTCTTTTCCGACTCCAGCTTTTTGTTCCTTTTGCTCTTTGACCAAACGGACCACAGCCTCAAAATGTGTAAATATGTTTCTTTATTGTCTATCTGAAGTGTTCTTTTCTAGCTGATTACTCTCGCATCCACTTAGGTTCCAGACTACAAACCTGAGTCTCATCAGCATTTCCTTTGCAACCCGTCTCTCCAGCCTTGACCATTTGGTCATTAAGCCCTTCCCAGTTTACCTCAGAAAGTACAGATGCTATGATTTAAGAGAACCTATTTTAGATTTCAGTTAGAGAAGGTCTCTTTGAGAAAAGTGTGATGTGGTTGCAACAGAAGGTATCATATATATTAAAGAGAACAGAAGATGATATGGGAGAGGTATGTTAGGTCCAAATTGTAAAGAGCTTTCTATGCTATACAGAGGAGTTTGGACTTGAGTAACACACTTCCACCGGCACACTGAGATTTAATAAAACCAAAAATATTTTGTAGGAATTCAAGCTTCACAATGTTTCATCTTTATTCCCTAAAACTGAACTCATCTTTTTTCTCAATAAGTCTGCTCCTTCTCTGTGATATTCCCTGCTGGTACCATCACCCACCCAGTCATCTCACAGGAAGCTGAGAGCCTGCTTCCTTCTTTCTCCTTGGTTTATCACCAAGTCCTCTTTACATATTTCTAAAATCAGGCATCTACTCTATACTATTATCACAGCCTACTTTTAAAACTTTAACACCTTTCACCAAGACTATTGTCCCGATTCCTAATTAATTTTCTCCCCTCTAGTCTTCTGTTCTCCAAATCCATCTTTCTCCCCTTAGTATCTAACTGAAATGAAAATCTGCTACATAAAACCCTTCAACTCCTCCTTAAGAATAAAATCCGACTTCATCTGCTCCTGCCCACCTCTGTAGCTTCATCTCTTGCTATCTCGACCTCATTATTTACATTCCAACAACATCAAAATTGCTATTAGTTCTTTATACACCACATGCTGTTTCTCACTTCCTTGCATTTCATCGTACTGTCCCCTCTGTCTAAAATGTCTCCTTTCTCTTTCATCCGCTGTGATAGAGGCTGCTAGCTAGCTATCAAAATCCATTTGCCCTTTCTTCCTAAGTAATTAAGTTATAACCCAGTGCATGACTGCACAGCTCCGCTACATTTCCCAGCTGAATTTGTAATTAGGGATGCCAGTAGAATGTAAGTAAAAAGACCAGGGGCCTTAAGGCACTGGATATTCTTCTCTATGCCGTCTTCTTCCTTTCTCAGCTGGAACCTGGACATGGCTGTGACAGAGTTTCCCCTATACATGACGACAAAGCCCTCGGGCACTACAGACCCATAAAATGGAAGGAGCCTGGGTCCCTGAGTGATGTATGGAGCAGAGCTACCCTATCTGTCAACCTGGAATACTTCCCTCTGTTATGTGAGAGAAACATCTCTTTGTTTTGTAAATCACTGAATTTTTGTTACAGTAGATTAGTTTCCCGTAACTAATAGCATTCCTTCCTATATTTTTAATGATTGTACTTATTTTAAAGAATTTAAGAGAAAAAATAGTCTTTTCTATTTACCTAAATAGCCACATTTTCTGTGGCTCTTCTTTCGGTCCTGAGCATCCAGGCTGCCCTTTCTCTTCATCCTAAAGAACTTCCTACAGCATTTCTTTTAGGGCAGGTCTCCTGACAATAGCTTTCTAAGTTTTCCTTCATCTGAAAATGTCTTTATTTCACCTGCACTGTTGAAAATATTTTCCCTAGATATAGGCTTCTGAGTTCACAGCTCTTTCAGCGCTTAGAGATGTTGTTCCAGTGTCTTCTGGCTACCCTGGACTCTGCAGTCATTCAGATCATCACTCTTTCTCTATGTAGTGTTTCATTTTTCTCTAGCTGCTCTCAAGATTTTTTTCTGTATCTTTGATTTCCAGCAGTTTGATTTTGATATTTCTGTTTCTAGGCATGGTTTTCTTTGAATTTAACTGTTGGAGTTCACCAGGCTTCTGGAATCTGTAAATATACATCTTTCGCCAAATTTGGGAAGATTTCAGCCATTGCTTTTTCAAATAGTTTTTCTGCCTCAATCTCTTTCTCCTCTCCTTCTGGGACTAAGGATTGTATGTTAGACTTTTTGATATTGTCACACAGGTCCCTGATGCTCATATGTTCTGTTTTGTCCAATCCTTTCCCCCTGCTCTGTTCTTCAGTTTGGATAATTTCTGTTGATTTATCTATTTTCAAGTTCACTGCCTCTTTCTTTCATCATCTCCATTTTGCAGTTGCACCTATCCAGTGAATTTGTTTACTTCAGATGTTGTACCTTTCAGTTCAAAATTTCCACCTAGTTCCTTTTCATAGTTTCTGTTTCTCTGCTGAAAATGTCTATCTTTACATTTATCTCAAGCGTGTTTATCTTTACATCCCAGAGTGTGTAATAGCTGCTTTAAAGTCTTCATCTGAAAATTCTAACATCTGCGTTATCTCAGAGGTGGTATCTGTTGTCTTTTCCCTTAGGATTTGGTCACATTGTCCTGGTTCTTTGTATGACAGGTAATTTCCTGTTGTGTCTATTGTATCCTGGACATTGTGCAGACTCTGGGTCTTGTTAAAACCCTTTTCTCAAGAATGTGTGTTTGTTTCCACAATCAACCTGGTTCAGTTCATGTTGCAAGTTTTGTTTCACGTTCTGTGGGTGATGGTTCAGTCTCATTTCAGTTGTAAGAGCCTGGCTGTGCTGCTCTTGGTCTGTCCTGAATGTGTGCCTCTCAGGAGTCAGTCTGAGACGTGCGTCACAGTTTGACTCTTCCATCAGTGGGCAGAGCCTGGCTATGCTGCTTCAGGTCTCTTGCACAAGGTGCAACTCAGGAGTGACCCCAAGATTTGTGTGCTTCGTATGCAAAATTAGGGATCACCTTCTCTAACTCTCTCCTCTCCCTCCACCCCACTCACTTTCCAACTCACAGAGACTCCTTTTTTTCTGTTCTCTGGATCAGAAAGATGGGGTTTCTATCAGAGTTTTAGCTACCCTTGCCACCGGACAATTCCCAAATGGGGCCTCATCTCAGGACAAAGCCACAAGAAAAAAAGGGAAAAAAGCCAGAAAACTCATCCCCTTGCAGGTTTCCTAAGTTTTGACTCCCCATCACAACCTTTGTTTACTTTTCAGGTCCTCAGGTTGTTGCTGTTTGTATTTTGTCATGAGTTTGTAGTTGTAATCAGTGGGCGAGATTGGCTGGCGGAGGCTTATCGTGCCAAAGCTGAACCTGAAGTATTCCTACTCATCTTTTAAGAGTCAGCTTAGGTACTACTTGCTCTAGGAAGCCTTTTCGGACCCTCCTCTCAGTCTTGAGGCTGTTTTAATTTCCCTCCATTATGCATAATTCTAATAGCCCACCTGCTCCTTCATATAGAATTTTCCTGTTGTGTGTCATCTTCCCTCCTATACTGAGAGGGCCTGAGGGGAGGTAGTGTGTCTTATTTAGCCTTTAGAGTAGTGCCTGGCACACAGTGAGTCTTCAGGAAATGTTTGTTGAATGTAGTCAACTTTCTCTGAACACCCTCACTGAAATCTGAATTCCTGTGTAGTTATGCTATGCCCAAATTTTCTCACATATTCTAGTATTATCGTTATTTTAGCACTTATCTTTCGTTCCCGAGTAGATTGTAAGCTCAATGAGATGGAAACTATGGGTCTTATGTCTCTATCTCCCTTGTAGCATTGTATTATGTACTTAATAAATATTACTTAACTGAATTGAGGTTCGTTCAACTAACTTTAAAATTAAAGGTTTTAGTTTACCCTGGTTAAACTTCAAAAAAAGAAAATCTTGTCTAAATGGAAAGAACTGCTTTCTCATTCTCCCCACTTCATTCCTGAAAGCAGCACTTTTTCCAGTTGCCTCCAGATGTCACCCACCACCTTTTTAAAAAAGGGTGATCAACCAAGACCTTGCTTCCTGCAGGCTTCCATTTCGGCCAATTGTGGGGATACATTTTTTTCAGGAGACAATTCAGGAGAAATAAAAACGTTGACGGACCATTTTCTTAATTGAAAATAAATATAGCTTTACTGATTCCCTTGAAAAAATGGCTATTTTACAACCTCTAGGACAATTTATCTAGAAGGAGGAAATCTGGATCTTCGTCACTCATATGGTACTATCTTCGCATATTGATGAAATGGCAACAAGGAGGCAGAGTTTTCATCTTTCAGCTTGAAACTTTACGTTGGATGAGAGTGACAAGTTAGATAGATCACGCTTGGGGATTGCACATCACTCTTAGGACCTTTTTCATCTTTATTTTCTGGAGGGACTATCGTTTCTACTTATCAAACAATATCTAATTAGTACTTAAAGCGCATCATAGGAAAACTAGGTGTCAGAACTATTTCTATCAGTATACTGAACCATCATTCTTTAACCTCCTCACTAAAAGCCCAGTCTGTTAAAACCAACTCTCACGAAGGTTTAATTTCAGTAAGATAACTTTTATGTTTGTGCTATGTAGTTTGAAAAGCTAGAAATAACATTGAAAGGATTTGACATTGGTATCTGTTTGAAATCAATTTTTATCTTATTAGAAATAAAAAGTTACTGATTTTTAAATTGACTCCCCTTTTTAAAAAAAATGTAAACTTTCGAACAGACATTTCTCCAAAGAAGATATACGGATGGCCAATAGGCACATGAAAAGATGCTCATCATCACTAATCATCAGGGAAATGCAAATCAAAACTACACTAAGATATCAC